TCCACTGAAACAGTGTACGGAAACACAGAAACAGAATACTGAAATACTGTAGCTGCCGGAATATACTGTAGCTGTTGGAATAGTACTGTAGCTGCCGGAAAAAACTCAAAGTTGTCAGAATGAAATGAAAACAGTAGGGGTAGGATCGGAATTACAAGGCGACCCAACTGTTCTGAAGGAAGATTTTCAAAAAATGGCCGGAAGTGGTCGTACGCGCCGGCGCGTGAGCTTCTGGTGGCGCGTGCAGGCGCATGAGGCGGCTGTTGCCGGAGTTTTTCACTGGAGTTTGGTCGCCGGACAGTGACGACTCTTGTGGTAGTGTTGGATTTTGCACAACACTGACAGAAATGAAGCAGATAGAAAACAGCCTTAAAAAAGTACTGATTTCTCTTTCCCGGAATCGCTGGAATTTATGCACAGCGATAAGTCTCTCACAATTGCTCTGATACCATGTGAGAAGGCACGGGAGAAAATATGTTATTGATATTAGATGAACAATACAATACAGGAGGTCCTTATTTATAGCTATATTATACAAGGACATACCACTCCTCTACCAATGCGGGACAATACTACACTATATACATGCTGTAAACTAACAAAAACAATATTCGATAGTACAAGGATAATTCTGACCCTTTACCGATGAAAATTTAAATGCATTGGATATCTTTGTTTCTTGCGCAAGGGGGGAAGTGAGGAAGTATCTCGCTCGCAGTACATAAGCTTTTTTCCCCTTAATGTAGTGCCTTTAAAATTGCACAAGTTTAGTTTTTCTCAATGCTTTCTTTCTCTATTTTTCGTATTTGTTGTAACCCCACACTTTAACATCAACTTGATGCCCACTTATTTTAAAACAATTGTTTTACTGATCACAAAAGGTTCTTGCATGAAAGCACTTCCCGTAATCTCAAACCTTGAGTTCTAGTTGTAGTCAAAAAACGCATGGCAAGTGAAGAAAGTTGTATTCTAGCAATTAAAATTTAGCAATCAGTTTCAAAAGTTATGTAGTGTCGTGCCTTTACTAAAGTATATTCTTTATGTAAGCCAATACTTTCCATAGTGAATTATCAATGTTTAACTGGTATTAACAACAATAAGAAATGGTAACTAATTTGAGTAGATTTTACAAGATTGCCTATAACTTACTCCTCTGTCCCATGTTACGTAAGGGCGTTTGACTGTCATAGAATCTAAGAAATAAAGAAAGACTTTCGAAACTTGTGAATTAAAACATGTCACAATATTTTGTGGCTATAATCATCCTATTCAGGGTAGAATGAGCAATTAAGAGTTAAATTATTTCTATACATAGAAAGGTGTCATTTTTTTTCGGATAGACTATAAAGAAAAGAATATCACATAAATTGAATTAGAGGCAGTACTTTAATATCAACAGTCAAACTTAAAACACGTGTATCCTACAAATTGCTTAGACAACATTTCTTCCTAAAAAATTAAGAATTAAAATCCCTAGCACCAAATATTATCTTCATTGTTCATACCTCTAGATAACTATAGCAAATTAAGGTAGTAAAAGAGGAGATTTATTTCTTTGTAGGAAGGGAAAACGGAGAAAGTTTTGAACTTTTTTTTTTTCTTTTGATAATCATGGTGTCCGGGCAAGTTTGCGCACCTCGACTAATTCTAGGGGATACCTACTACCTACCACCAGCATCGGGTACCAGATAACTATATCCACCAAGACTTGAACGGATGGGAAAAAATCACTAGCATCAAGTACCAGGTAACTATATCCACCAAGACTTGAATAGATGGGAAGAAATCACCAGGTTTTTTGTCATGAGACCTCAAGTTCTCAACCAACTCCATTGAACTTCTTTTCTTTTTTCGATAAATAGAACAAGCAATTAAGCCAACCTTTTGCTTTTTCAACAACAACATCAACAATTATGACTAACTTCCAAACAAGTTAGAGTCGCTATATGAATCCTCACTGACCATGTTACTCCCTTTAAAATCATCCCATACATAGGAAAATTTAAAGTGTATTAATGGTTAATTTTTACACAATTTCGTTGCACATTAGAAGTAAAAACAAAAAAAGTCATTGTTTTCAAGGGCAAAAACTACATAACCACATCTAGAAGGGGCGCTCATCAGCGAGGGCACTGATAAGATGGCATTTTCACTTTATAAGGGGCTCTCCTTTAGACATAGGGTAGGTGATGCCCCCCTGCATCTCTCTGGTTTGACCTGGTGGCAGTAAACGTTTTTGTCCAAGGCTCAAGTTAAGACCATTAGCTTTCCCCATTTTAAGCTCTCCTACTTTATTGCCACATTCATAGGCTGTCACGCAAAAGATTTAAAAAAAACCAAAATAATCTAAAGATGATATCTTGAATTGCACGACAATTGCAATGATCAGTAAGGACAACAAAATGATTATAATAGTCAATCAATAACAACTACGCAGGTCTGAATATTCACACACTTATAATAGACCAGGGAAAAGTCCTGGCTGAGCATATCTTAGCTATGATGGCAAAATAATGTAGGAGCAACAACATTACTTTTACTAAGACACTACATTGATCTACATGAAATAAATTGAATACTTGAGACACAGGCACACAGCGTCTAAGACTGAGCCAAGTATAATCAACTTTGTAAACTTCCCAAAAAGCATTTGTCCAGACAATTTTGCCAAAATATTTCACACAAACGAAGTATACATCCAAAATGCTTCTTTGCAAGAGTTAAAGTACAAATTCACCAAGCGAATGCTTCTAGAACATATTAAAAGACCAAGCTTTAGTGCATTTGAAAGTTATTTCTTAGTTTTATTCGCAATTCAACACATTTATTTTTACGAAAATAGTCAAATTAACTAAAGAAGGATATAGAAACCAATGTTCACCGTGCCAGTGTGAAAAGAACAGAACCGTCAGAACTCAATTTCTGTGATCCATAAATCAATAAAGGAAGAGTCAATCCTAAATCAGTAATACTCGATCATATGAAATTCCGCTCTATTCATCCAATTAAATTTCTAGGAAACGAATTGAAAAATGCAGAAACTGATTCGATCAAATTACGAAACAGATCCAAACGGACCAAAACAAATAGTATTCAGGAATTACGCACCAGAATTTAAACTCAGGGAGGCGACGAACGAAAGGGCGAAACTCATCGGAACCGCGGGTGGGGAGGGAAGGACCAGGACCATCGGCGAGTTCCGGATCCACTTGAGGGGAAAGGAAGGCGATCAGCAGCTGAAGGATGTAGATTCCTAGTCCGTACGTGATGATGTAGAATCCTTGAACGAAGTACACGCGTACGGCATAGATCAAAGCTATCACCGAGAAGGCGATCCAACGGTGGCGGACATGCTGCGTTGACTTATCCAGAAGGTGCTGGTACAGCTGAGATACGGTGAAGAACCACTGCGACACGGTGGTCGAAGGTGAGGATACACCGTCGCCGGCGCCGGTTCCTCCACCGACATTCATCTTTTTTAAAAGTAAATTAATTCCCCTTAGAGTTTGTTAATACCATTCCTTTTTTATTTGCTTTATTTCCAGTACGGGTGAGGATAGCCCGGGCCCAACAATTATGTAGTATTGTTGTTAACATGGTTTAATTATTTTTTGACAAATTCTTCGAATTTGCAGTAGTACTTTGTATTTGTGTCACCTTTTAATATGTACCCTATTTTTAAAATTTATTGATTTGGTAGCCAGCTGACAAAAAATTCGTAATAATATGACAATTACACCCCTGACAAATTTGCCTTATTCATCAGCATAACGTAACACGCTCATTAAATTCAGATAAAGTTACAGGACTATCAAAATATACAGGCATTCGCTTCAGCCATTGTTTTACTCTTTTTTTTTTCTACTTTGTCAAATTTTACTTATTTATATAGTATTACTTATGAGTTGGTTTTTCTTTTTTTTTTTGGGATCTCATATGTTAGAAGAATTTTTTGGGACATACTTGATTACATGGCAGAATGTCAATGGGTATCTGAATGAGCAGCTACTCACAACACATGCTTTTGTGTCAACATATAAATGATTCAGATTCTAAAATTATTCTTCATGTATATGGATTTATTATCATTTATTGGCTGCTAAAACTTCATGCTAATATAGCATGAAGTTGTTTTACATTGAAGCTAAAACTTTATGCTAATGCATGCTGAAGTTATTTATCCTGCAGTCTATAATTTTGTCACGAGTTTTATCCGAAACTTCAGTCTAAACATGCTAAAGTTATTTAGTTCATTTGCTAAAACTTCAGTTTAAACATACTGAAATTATTTAGTTCATTTGCTAAAACTTCAGTTTAAACATACTGAAATTATTTAGTTCATTTGCAAAAATTTCAGACTAAACATGCTTAACCTTTTTAATTCATTTGCTAAAACTTCAGACTAAACATACTTAAGTTTTTGTCTTGCAATATGTAATTTTCTAATGAGTTTTTGCTAATGCATGCTGAAGTTATTTAGTTCATTTGCTAAAACTTCGGACTAAACATGCTTAACCTTTTTAATTCATTTGCTAAAACTTCGGACTAAACATGCTTAACCTTTTTAATTCATTTGCTAAAACTTCGGACTAAACATGCTTAACCTTTTTAATTCATTTGCTAAAACTTCGGACTAAACATGCTTAACCTTTTTAATTCATTTGCTAAAACTTCGGACTAAACATGCTTAACCTTTTTAATTCATTTGCTAAAACTTCGGACTAAACATGCTTAACCTTTTTAATTCATTTGCTAAAACTTCGGACTAAACATGCTTAACCTTTTTAATTCATTTGCTAAAACTTCGGACTAAACATGCTTAACCTTTTTAATTCATTTGCTAAAACTTCAGACTAAACATACTTAAGTTTTTGTCTTGCAATATGTAATTTTCTAATGAGTTTTTGCTAATGCATGCTGAAGTTATTTATCCTGCAGTCTATAATTTCGTCACGAGTTTTATCCGAAACTTCAGTCTAAACATGCTAAAGTTATTTAGTTCATTTGCTCAAACTTCATACCAAAACATGTTGAAGTTTTGTAACGCAGTCTACAGTTTTGTCCTGAGTTTTATCCGAAACTTTAGTCTAAACAAACTGAAGTTTTTTAGTTTATTTGCTAAAATTTCAGCCTAAACATGCTTAAGTTTTTGTCTTGCAGTTTGTCGATAGTCTTTTATTAAAGAAGGGTAAAATCGTTTTTTTTAAAATACTTTTAACAAAAAAAAAGGGTACGGATGCAAACGAAAAAGTAAAACAGGTATAAGTTAAAAAGGGGCAACCAAATAGGGCGCCCCATGCAATTTTTACCAAATTCTTAAAGGGCTTTTTAATTTTAAACTTATTTATCGATTTTGTCTAAGTTTTCGTATTTACAGAAAGTAATTAAAGTTTTTTATAAAATATAAATAAATGCGAAAAAATCTATCTATAACTTGAATACAATATTTTGTACAAAAATCCGACAAAAACTACAAATTATCTATGACTTGGATACAATTTATCTACAACTTAAATATAATTTTTTTGTATAGAAATCATGTTAAAAACTGTAATTTACATACAATATATACAATTTTATTAGTTGTATATATTTTGTATGCCGTTTCGACACTCGACATACAAAGTATATACAATTTGCCTATGTCTTCTTTTTCGAGTTTCAATTTGAAATTCTAACCAAAACTATCTCAAATATTCACCAAATACCATCAAAATTGAGATATAAAATCCAAAGAATATTCTCAATCGTTTGCAATAATACTCAATCCAAACAAATAATATTTTTTGTAAACACAAATTTGAATTCAAAGCTTCAAAACTTTTTAATGGCTGTCAATAGTGAATAGCCAAATACCTTCAAAATTTATTGATTGATTTTGTTTTTGTTTCATTATTTTTGCAACAAGAAATATTTTAAACTGCAGTTTACGAATACTCCTTCATGTGCAGAATTAAGAAGAAATACTTTTATTACCTAACATATAATTTAGTTGCGGCCTCCCTATGACACAGTACAAAATTTCAATCCTACCAAATTTGATTTTACACATTCCGCACATGAAGGAGTATCTCCGTAAGCATCCGCTTTCTTCCGTATGACAAAGCACATGTGATTCTGCACATGAAGAAACTAATCAACATTTGCTTCTGCAAGGATATTGAAGAAACTATTCGTAAACTGCTTTTATATTCCAGCAATATAGGCATTAAAATAAAGATCTATGTACATATGTATCCCTCAAAATAAAGAAAGGCCCGATGATTTTATATAGTTAAAAAATTATATATCAACTTGTAATTAAGTTAAAACCTAAACAGTGAAGGTAAATAAGTTTCTAATGTAGTACATATAGATAAAAAGCTCAATTCTTAATGGTAATTCATCTTGGTACCGCTTAGAAACTTTTTAAGCGCTTATAAAAAGACCTTAGAGTTGGCTATATGTATAAACCAAATTGTATGTATTACTAAAAAAGAATGTCAAAAGTTGACTGATATATGAGCAATACATTGACCTTAGAGTTGGTACCAGGAAGGTATTGATCATGGCCAACTATACTTTCTAAAAGGTCTAGTGATCGTTGCATATATTATTCAGTTTACAAGTCTGCAGTCGAATCCCACAAGAAATTAACCTACTAATCACAATCACTAGTTTCGCAAGGATTCGAGTAATCAACTTTTAGAAATAAGAATTGAAACAATGAGCTGAGTGTTTACTAACTAAGAGCAAAGTAATTAAAATGATGTAATTTTATTACTAATAGAGCAAACATTGTAGACAAGATTGGAATGGTCCAGTGTTATGATTTTCCCAATCGTCGGAATCCTCCCTGCTACGTCTCCTATAAATTCACCTAAGTGTTCTCTACCGATCGTGAGTACTTCAGATGCCGTAATCCTCTTCCGAATAATTATTACAATTTACTAGACATATTCTTCCGAACTACGCTAGCTGGCATTAGTTCATCACTCACTACGATGGCACCAAGGTCTCGTTACTCCTAATCCCATCTTTAAACCCTTTGTATTGATTCCTCATATACGTTAGGATTGATGTTGTTTAACAACTACCTAAATGTGTACCCTTTTCTAAGCAATACACACTAATATGCACAGTCAATTGAGAGTCGTTCAATCTACAACAATAATAACATAGCTGAACAAGTAGAGAAAAGTCAATGGCAAATTTATATTAAACGCAATGCAAAATCATCCTCCAATAGGTTCCATCAAACCCTAGATGAAAGAGTTTAGCTACTCATAATCATATTAACAATCATAATAATATTCGAAAGCATTAAACTACAGGTTAAGGAAGAACAAAGAGAAAACTCTTGTGATTCGTTGCTTCCAAGTATTCCCGTAGCCTTTTGCCTTTCAATAATGTCTAACCCTCTAAAACTAACTTTAAGAAGTATTTATATGGTAGGGCTATAGAATACACATCCAAAATTAAGGATAAAATCAAAGTGGCTCGGATAGACATCGTCAACGCAAGGGCATCATCAGAGGCGCTAATATAACAGTGCTAGGTGCCATCAGAGGCGCCAAAACTATGCGGCCTTGCATCATTAGGGGCGCCAAAGTTAATGCTCAGGACAAAGCCTTGCATTGTCTAAGGCTGTGAGTTTCCATGGCCTTGCAATAAGGCTGTGACTTTTCATGGCCTTGCAATGTCATCTTTTTGTGCTCTATTTTGTAGCTTCGAGGTACCATTTCGTACAACTTTTCTCCACTTTATATCCAAGTGCTCCTACACGTAAAATAAACTCAATTAAGCTAAAATATCACATAAATTAGCATCCAAACAACAAAGAAGTAAGGTGAATTATGTAAAAATATATGGAATTATAATTTGACATCAATACCCCACACTTAAATGTTGCTCGCCCTGGAGTCAACCAACTAAACATATCCTCTTCAAGTACCCAACAAGCCACACTTTGACAACACACTACACCCATGACCATGGTTTATAGCAATAATTAAGCTCTAGCATATGCGGTCAAAACATACTTTTCTTACTTATGTCTAATGTCAAAATATCCAACATATGAATAACATGCTCATAACAATCCTACCTTTGAAAATGCAAGGACCCGACCGGTCATTTTGAGAATCAGCATTCTGTTCGGTGGCTTAAGGTCTTGAGCAGCTTCTTATTATGTATCATGACTTGCGTGTGTGGCCGGGTTCGGTTTTCAGATAATTCGGGATTGATTTGGAAGAATGATTCTTATTTTAGAAGCTTAAGTGGAAAGAGTTGACCGGAGTTTGACTTTTGTGTAGACGACTCTGGAATGGTGTTTTGATGATTCCAACAGCTTCGTATGGTAATTTTGGACTTAGGCATATGTCCGAATTTGGATTTGGAGGTCCGTAGGTTGATTTGATGTATTTTGGCGAAAGTTGGAAAGTTGAAGGTTTGGAAGGTTGAGAGGTTTGACCGGGAGTTGACTTTGTTGATATCGGGTTTGGATTGCGATTTCGGGAGTTGGAATAACTCCGATGTA